CTCCGGTGTTGAGGATCAGGGTGGAGGATGTGATGTTTCAAATATAGACTTAGTATGCACTATGGCACTACGTTTTTTGTTCCTCACGTTGTGAGCGTTTTTTGTTATGCCTTATTGAAGCCCTTTATTTTTTGTCACCTCGCAAAGAGTGTCGTTTTCTTTTGTTTATCCTTTTGGCAAAATAAAAGTATATTGCTTATACTTTACCTCTGGCTCCCGGGTCGTGCATTTGAGTCCTTTTTCCCTTGTGATTCCACGTCCGTAACGTGCTAAAAGTAAAAGTAAACAGACTTAAGGTTCGAGGTTCTTTATTTGTCATACGAATTGGTGGCATTGAAGGTGCATCGGGGGGTTGAATAGATGTATTACTTATGAATTGACATGATAAAGTCTAAACGGCATGCACAAAAAGCTTGTTTGGAAGCGAGTTTAACTGGTTTTTAGCTCTATCCGTATCCCTGGTTGAGCTGGGGAGAAGAGGAAACTGTTAATGTTGTGTTTACAAACGGCAACGCACAAATCGTACACAGTTTGCCTTTTAACCAACAAGTAACTGGTAGCAAATGTAGGCGTAGCATGAAGTTATTCCAATGTAAAAAATGCCTCCTGGTGTCTTTGTGACTAGGGGTGCATACCGGTTCCCAGTATTACCGAAATACCGGTTACTGGCGGCTACGGTATACCGTACCGAAATCAGATCCGGTTTTTTATTATTTTATTTATGAAAGTGAGGCGTAATATCCTTAAACTCGCGCCCAAACCGTCGGAATTACGATGTCAATTTCGCCGTGAAACTCCGCAAACGAGTCACTTTAGAAAATCTAAAGTGTGGCTGCATATGACTGCCAGTCTGAATGGTGGGGTCTGTAACCAATGCCAGTCTGAATGGTGGGGTCTGTAACCAATGCCAGTCTGAATGGTGGGGTCTGTAACCAATGCCAGTCTGAATGGTAGGGTCCGTAACCAATGCCAGTCTGAATGGTGGGGTCTGTAACCAATGCCCGTCTGAATGGTGGGGTCTGTAACCAATGCCAGTCTGAATGGTGGGGTCCGTAACCAATGCCAGTCTGAATGGTGGGGTCCGTAACCAATGCCAGTCTGAATGGTGGGGTCTGTAACCAATGCCAGTCTGAATGGTGGGGTCTGTAACCAATGCCAGTCTGAATGGTGGGGTCCGTAACAAATGCCAGTCTGAATGGTGGGGTCTGTAACCAATGCCAGTCTGAATGGTGGGGTCCGTAACCAATGCCAGTCTGAATGGTGGGGTCTGTAACCAATGCCAGTCTGAATGGTGGGGTCCGTAACAAATGCCAGTCTGAATGGTGGGGTCTGTAACCAATGCCAGTCTGAATGGTGCGGTCTGTAACCACTGCAAGACGTTTATTTCTGGGAAAGGGGGCAACACATCCAACCTCCAACCAATGCTGTCTCGTATGGCAACCAAGTACCTTTGTGTTCAGGGAAGCAGCGTGCCAAGCGAGAGAGTGTTCAGTTCAGCAGGTAATATCCTACACTGTGAAAGGGCCCGTTTGGATCCAGAGTTGGATATGCTCATCTTCTTGAAGATGAATACACAAAACTGAACTGTGAGGGGTTAGTTTTCTTTCATCAGGCAAATGTTGATTTTAATGATGCTTTTTGTTTTATGTGCAATACCGAGATCTCATGATCCTTTGTGTGTTCTCTGGTCAGTCGAATCTCAGCTTGAATGTTGATTATACTGGTGCCATTTTCTTTTTGCATTGACAAGATGTGCTATTCACGCCTGATGGTGGACATAAATGATATTGCAGAATCAGTTTTCTTCATCGATAACGTGTTTTTCATTGTTTGTTCAGTACTAAAAGGTCCAAGTCCCACAATTGAATTTAATATTCATTTGACATGTTAACTACATCATAAAGCGTTTCATGGGAGTAATTGCGGGATGATTCAATTTTTCCCTTATGCAACATGAAAGTATCACGATATGTATCGGTCGAGTATCGTTCAGTGGTATCGTAAAAAAGTCAACGATATGCAACCCTATTTGTGACTGTCTTTTCCTCCTCTCTTGCTCCCTGCTCCTACTTCATGGTACATTGCAACTGATAGAGTAGATATTATAACATTTCCTCTCTTGCTCCCTGCTCCTACTTCATGGTTAACCTCCCTCTCTCCTCTCTGTTCAGACGGGGGAGACTACGGTCTGGATGACAAGGACATGGAGGCGTCGGTGGCCACGGTGCGGTCGCTGTGCGAACAGATCGAAACCGACCTGATCTTCCTCAGAGAGCGAACAGACGCTGGAGGAAAGATCAGAGACTATCTGATCCGCAGGCGTGTGGGCGAGGAGGACTTCCTGGAAGTCAGGTACAATTCATTGGGGTTAAAGTAGAAATACTGAAAGGACCTTAAGTGGTGACTTTTTGACCACAGATGGGGTCTAAAGATAGCAAGCCACATGAATGTCTGGGAGCAAATTCATTGTATATGCTACACAAATATGGCCAGGATCCGTTGAATATTATGAATATTGGGTCGCAGATTAGAAGTGGGGTTCGTTTAAAATGCCATTTCATAATATGTCTCTTAATATCTTTCCTTGTTGTAAAGCACTTTGAATTGCCTTGTGTTGAAAGCTGCTAAATAAATAAACTGGCCGTGCCTTACAAATAAGAGGAAATGCTCTGGCTGGGAAATAATATTGATGGTTTTAAGTCAAAAATGTAGTACCCCATGGCACCTTATATATTTTGACATTTGTTAAGGTGCATGGTTTGTTTTGCATTAGTTTTTGTTGAGGTGGAAGTGCATTTTGAGAGATGATATAGTTGAGTTTGATTTAATTTCAGCATCAGAGTTTATATCGCAGACAAAATGTTCCAATATCAGTTTTATCTGACTTCACTTGTTAATAAAAATATTAGGGATGCACAATATTGGTTTTTTGAAACCGATACCGATAACTTCCTGCTTCTCAAGACCGATAACCGATAATAAAAAAAAATTAACGCCACTAATTATTTTAACGCGATTAACGCATGTGTATTTTTTTTCCTCGGCCGCCCCGTAGTTTCAGAGCGCATCGAGTTTAAAATACCGTCTACAAGCTGATGCTGACAGCCCCGCTCCTGCCGCCCGCTTGTGGCAGACCACACTTCCACGCTCACCGGCAGGCACCGACTGGCCATCTGGAGGACCGGGAGGTGTATGTGTATGTGTGGCCCGAGCGAGCGAGAGAGAGACCTTACGTGCATTGTTGTTGTTAGCATCTGGTGCTAGCTAGCTGCGCTAACGGATATAAGGAGCTGTTTAAATGAAAACAGAGGAGCGACATTTCGCCACAACTGCACTTGACTTTATGCAGGAAGCCAGACAGTGGGACATTGTACGAAAAGTCAGCACACTCAGCACGGATAGTGCGCAACATGATTGCAGCGTCCAGGCAGCTCCGGTTCGAGCATATGCCTTGAGTTGCACATAGCTGCAACGCCCATACCACCGACGACATGTTTGTTTACTGTCCTGGCTTCACGGCCGCACACCATTTACGTCACAGCCAGGCATGAGTTAGGGAGCGCTGGATTTGTGAAGAACTCCCCTCTTCCTAAACCACTAATACCACAGTACTGGCAAAACGGGAGGAGCCCAGTGAAAAACAAGCGCCCCTTATCCCAATCCACCCACACCGCAGTATGTTTTTTATTGTATATTATCGGGGCTATTAATACTGGTATCGGGTTTATCGGGATGACGTCATAATTCCTAATATCGGACCGATAATTATCGGGCCGATAATTATCGTGCATCCCTAAAAAACATAGATAGAGAGAGCTTTGTTCAATACCAGCGCTCATGTGCAATTTATTTAATTTTATTTATTTAAATGTATTCACAATTTGTTAACATTAATATCGGGCTGCTCAATTAATCGTATTTTAATCGCAATTACGATTTTGGCTTGCAACGATTATGAAAACAAAATCCAAATAAAACGATTATTTATTTTCTTTATTTTCTTTTATTGGTTTTTCAGTTGAATTCTACTTAGAGTTCAGGGTAATCAACTGTTAAAAACATACTGTTCAAATTTTCTTTTTTCAATAAATTAATGTTTTCAAAGTAAATGGATAATCGTTTTTAATAATCGTGATATCAATTATTGACCCAAATAATCGAGATTATGATTTTTGCCATAATCGAGCAGCACTACATTAATAGCTACTTCAATATTTTCACAAAATGCTACTTTTTGTTACCCTGGTGTATCTGTTATTTAATTGACCTATTGTGTTTTATTATTAATATTGTTAGCCTGCCTTTATTAAATAAGATCTAAGTCTCTTACTCTTTTTACTTCTAATTTGCACTGTACCGTTGTAACGCTGTAAATCTCCCCGTTGCGGGACAAATAAAGGATTCTAATGTTTGATATAACCCACTCTTCCTGTTCTCCTCCCTCTGGTGCTCAGGGTGGCGGTGGTGGGGAATGTGGACGCGGGGAAGAGCACTCTGCTGGGGGTTCTGACCCACGGTGAGCTGGACAATGGCCGAGGCTTTGCTCGCCAGAAGCTCTTTAGACACAAACATGAAATGGAGAGTGGCAGGACCAGCAGTGTGGGCAATGATATCCTGGGGTTTGACAAGGAGGGAGAGGTGAGCTTCTGCCACGTTCAGGACGTACTGTAGACACCAGGGGGGTGAAATGGAGAAAGTTAAAGCTCCTATAATAAGTGTTTAAAGGTCACCTATCATACTGTTTTTCATCAATCTATCACAGGTCTCAGATATATACAGAACATGTCTCTGATTGGCTGAAACACCAAACAGATCATTGCAGCATTACCCATAATCCCCTCTGTTTCAGCCCTGTTTCCAAAGTGATGATTCTGTGTCTGTAGCTTTAAATGCTAATGAGCTGCTGCTGGCCACGCCCATCTGAGAGATGATTGGTTAAAAAGAACACAATGGTGCTCTAGGAGGAGATTCAGGTGATAAGGGGGGGGGGGTTACCTTGGTTGCTGATTGGCTAATGGTTACACAAGACAACACATCGTTATGACATCATAAAGTGGCCAAAATCTGATCAGCTCATTTTCAGACAGGTTTTTATAGAAATGGATCAAAAAGAGAGAGAATCTTTGTTCCTGAAACTTTCAGAGTCTCTTTCCACAGAGGGGACACATGTTGATGTAGAAGAGACATGAAGAAGAGGGGACACATGCTGATGTAGAAGAGACATGAAGAAGAGGGGACACATGTTGATGTAGAAGAGACATGAAGAAGAGGGGACACATGTTGATGTAGAAGAGACATGAAGAAGAGGGGACACATGTTGATGTAGAAGAGACATGAAGAAGAGGGGACACATGTTGATGTAGAAGAGGAGACACATGTTGATGTAGAAGAGACATGAAGAAGAGGGGACACATGTTGATGTAGAAGAGACATGAAGAAGTGGGGACACATGTTGATGTAGAAGAGACATGAAGAAGAGGGGACACATGTTGATGTAGAAGAGACATGAAGAAGAGGGGACACATGTTGATGTAGAAGAGACATGAAGAAGAGGGGACACATGTTGATGTAGAAGAGACATGAAGAAGAGGGGACACATGTTGATGTAGAAGAGACATGAAGAAGAGGGGACACATGTTGATGAAGAAGAGACATGAAGAAGAGGGGACACATGTTGATGTAGAAGAGACATGAGAAAGTGGATTTTGCATGATAGGTGACCTTTAAGTTTAAAGACTGATTACAGTACAAACAGTGCTTGGACCGTAACAACCTCTTTAATGGCATAGCTTCTTAATAAGCTAGCTTTCTTTATTCCTCAAAGTGTGATTTAATGTGAGAAGGCGATACAACTCCTAAAGCAGAAAATATGTTGACATTATTTTCCCATTCAGATGATTTGAGTACAGTGTAAAGAAATGTCACTTTTTCCACTTTTTGTTCGAATGTGTTAGTTAATTTTCTGTCAGTTACAACTCCTAAACTTTCAGCAGCAACTATGTTCAAAATCATTTTCCATTAAGATAACATGCCAGTATTTGTTTTTATTCATTGTATTTGAAAAGGGACCATGCACATTAATTAACATGAACACTCTTTAGTCCATCATGAACTAGATGTAGCCATTAAGGCTCATTTTCATCTGCAGTCCCTGGCAGGTTGATGGCATTTAAAGAAAACATACAAGAGCACAATGATACAAACCACAAACGAAACATATACTAAAAGCTAGGGCTGCTCGATTACGGCAAAAATCATAATCTCCGATTATTTGGGTCAATAATTGTAATTGCGATTATTCATTGACTTTGAAAACATCCATTTATTGGATAAAAAACATGTGAACAGTAAGTTTTTAACAGTTGATTACCCTGAACTTTAAGTAGAATTCAACTGAAAAACCAAAAAAATAATCGTTTTATTTCGATTACGTTGTTTTCGTAATCGTTGCAAGCCATAATCGTAATCGCGATTTAAAATACGATTAGTTGAGCAGCCCTACTAAAAGCACAGATAATAGCTAATAGACAAAGTTATTAATTATTATTTTCAGTACAATGTCAAGTAATGTAACTTTTATTTTAAATTGTATTTTTCTCTCAGTTGTATTTCTACTATCTCTCCCCCTCGCTGTGCATCTGTAATCTCTGTGTGTGTTTCTGCGCCTTCAGGTTGTGAATAAACCCGACAGCCACGGTGGCGGCCTGGACTGGACGAAGATCTGTGAGAAATCCTCAAAGGTCATCACCTTCATCGACCTGGCGGGACACGAGAAGTACCTGAAGACCACCGTGTTCGGCATGACGGGACACCTGCCTGACTTCTGCATGCTCATGGTGAGAGAGAGGCATTTAAACATGGGGGAAATGGAAATCTACTTACTTTTGGGTCCAGTCTCAAGTTAGGAAAACTCACTCGTCACCGTTTTGAGCTTCAATCTCAGGATCCATGTATTTCTGATCCTCTCAAGAATGGAAGTAGTCAAAACAAAAAGAGAGAAAAAAAAATTTCAAAAAATTCTGACTTTTTCTCCAAAGTTCTGTGTTTTTCTAAAGATTCTGACTTTCATTTTGTTTATTCCTTTTCTCAAACAATCCTGACTTTTTCTCAACAATTTCAAAAATATGACTTTTTCTCAAACTTCAGACTTTTTCTGAATACTTAAAAATGTTAATAATCACTCGTCACCGGCTTGAGCTTCAATCTCAGGATCCATGTATTTCTGATCCTCTCAAAAATGGAAGTAGTCAAAATGATGTTTTTCAAAAAATTCTGACTTTTTCCTCAAAAATGTGACTTTCTTTCAAAATTCTGACTTTCATTTTTTTGTATTACTTTTTCTCAAAAATCTGACTTTTTCCTCAAAAATCGGACTTTCTTTTGAAAATGTGACTTTATCTCAAACTTCTGTGTTTTTCTCAAAATTCTGACTTTCATTTTTTTGTATGACTTTTTCTCAAAAATCTCAAAAATATGACTTTTTCTCAAACATCAATTCTGTGTTTTTCCAAAGATTCTGACTTTCATTTTGTTTATACTTTTTCTCAAAAATCAAACAATTCTGATTTTTTCTCGACAATTTCAAAAATATGACTTTTTCTCAAACTTCAGATTTTTTTCTCGACAATTTCAAAAATATGACTTTTTCTCAAACTTCAGATTTTTTTCTCAAAATCAAAAAATTCAGACTTTTTCTCAAAAATGTGACTTTTTCTCAAAATTCTGTGTTTTTCTAAAGATTCTGACTTTCATTTTTTTGTATTACTTTTTCTCTCAAATTTGACTTTTTCCTCAAAAATCTGACTTTCATTCTCAAAAATCTGACTTTCTCAAAAATTCTGTTTTTCTAAAGATTTTGACTTTCATTTTTTTGTATTACTTTTTCTCAAAATTCAGATTTCTTTTTTCTCAAAATCAACAAATTCACACTTTTTATGAATACTTAAAAATGTTAATAATCACTTCAATCTCAGGATCCATGTATTTCTGATCCTCTCAAAAATGGAAGTAGTAAAAACAAAAATAATTTTTTTTTTTTTTAAAATGATGTTTTTCAAAAAATTCTGACTTTTTCCTCAAAAATGTGACTTTCTTTCAAAATTCTGACGTTCATTTTGTTGTATTACTTTTTCCTATAAAATCTGACTTTCTCTCAAAATTCACATTTACCATGTGACTCTCACATTCAGTATTTTCCCAACACCTCCCAAAGACTTAATGTCCCTACCAAGAAGACACATAATTAGAGATTTCAGGGTCTTAAAAAGTATTAAAAGTTGATAAATCAATTTCACGAAAATTAAGGCTATTAAAGTATTAAATGGCATTTTCCAAGGTATTAAGAAGGTCCACAGCAACGACAACATGAAACACCCTTTAATTTACTGCAACGACATGTCGGGAAACCCCCTCAAGGCGGCCCCATGCAGAGCGCGCCGTGAAATGCTGCTTCTTATATTAAGTTTCGTTGCCTTGCTCCGCTCTGTGGGGGGGGGGAAGAGTCTGTCGATGGAGGTCAAAGCTGTCCGGTCCCACATGCTAAGTGCTAGCTAGAAAGCCGCGGCGTTTAAGTCCCGACTCTCCCGATGGCCAATCCGTGCCTCCCCTGACTGCACGTCGCTGACACCCACCGCTGCAGTGCAGACTCTCTGCATGGAGGAGCCGCGGAGTCCGGGCGATGCCGCTCCTACATGTTCACTAAGCCAAACTATATCCGGTCACAGAGATCTGCTATTTTAAAGTGAAGTCAACACATACCGACTGTGAGACTGACCGTTGAGCGGCCCAGACCAAGCAAGGAGGCAGAGGCAGAACGTCCAAAAATATAACCCGACGTGGGCATTTATTAAAATCATGTGCACAAAGTTCACAGCCTCAATCCTGCTGTTCTCCTTGCACACATCCTGCAGCCACAAGGATCTCACACACCCTACCAGCCTCTCAACAGACAGGGAAACAGAGCCTAAATACACACACTCTAATCAGCACAACAAGACACAGGTGAGGGGGGAGGAGACAACACAGGACACCAGGTGCACACAATCATCAGCCACAGACAACATGTACTGTGCAATCACGCTAATAAAGTGCAATACGAAGTTACCTTCGCCACACCGACCCTAAATATAGTCTATATTAAGAACGAGAAAAGTTTTAACATATATATTGTTTTTTGTAAACATATGACAAATGTGTGAGGGTGATGACGTCAGCATCGTCCTATGTGCCGGGCTTATCCCCGGACAGCCCCAGCCCAATGTAACCCCTGGGTATTTGTGAGGGAGCTCCTATATGGCATTACCCCGCTGAAGCTCACCAACGTTTAATATATTTCATAGTTCAAAGTTTTGTCAATTGTTTTGTTTATTGGTCAAATACTGGTTTCTACTGGTTTCTGAGGAGTTTGACTGGAATGAAAGAGCACAGAGTACAGAAGCAACAAAGAGCATCCTGCATTAACCCTGACCTTCACAGAGAGGTTGAAGTTCATGTGGAGAGGATGCTACAGTCGTCTGTCTGCACTCTGTTAGTTGTGCTATCTTACAGTCAATGTGAGGTAAAGTGTGTCGCCAAGGTAACCGGTTAGAACTCAAAGTTGCGATGAGGTCTTAAAATGTCTGGAAAGGGTCTTAAAAAAGGTCTTAAAAGGTATTACATTTGACGTCAGGATTCCTGCATATACCCTGGATTTACTTTCTTTCTTCAAACACCCTCACACACATTCACACACAAGGTTGGAGCATGTGTAACACCATTAGCTATAAACTGTCAGGCTCAAGTCTTTGGCCCTTCCTGTTGTCCTTGTTTGTTTATCCCTTCTCCTCTCTCTCTGTCTCAGGTTGGCAGTAACGCCGGCATCGTGGGGATGACCAAAGAGCACCTGGGTCTCGCTCTGGCCCTCAATGTGCCCGTGTTCGTGGTGGTGACTAAGATAGACATGTGTCCAGCCAACATCCTGCAAGGTAAACAACCCCTGTCTCTCAGACTCTTTTAAATGTCATCTAAAGACATCTCAACCAACTTCCTCCTGGCTGCTTTTCTGTTTTCTTTCTTTTTGGTTTTGTTTTGTTTGTCTACCCTCCCTCCCAAATCTAAAGCGTCTTTGGGTTCAAGAAAAGCGCTATAGAAATCAAATGTATTATTATTGTTATTCCCGTTTGGGTAACTTGTGTGTTTTTATTTTATTCTATGTTTTTATTGTGTTTCAACTCTCTGAATTAACTCTGATTTGAACTTCATACTTTTACTAACTCAAGTAAGACAAGTGATAATGCATTTTATAATTCCCCATGTGCACAGACTCCTCTCTGGGAAGTCAGTAATGTGATGTGATTCCAGCTTTATTTACTGTGCTTTAATGATGTAAATGCGGTGTGTGTGAAACCAAACACTCACTCACAGTGAGAGCCTCTCCAGAGTTCACTTTGCATAAAACACAAATCCCTGCAAGAGCAAATTAACAAAGCATATGGGAGAAGTGCAGAACAACAGGGAGTCTGCTGAATAAACTATGATTAAATATGCTTTGAAATGGGGATGTTAGGAATAAAGCACCATGTATAATCAACCCCTTTCTCTTATATAGAGTACTCACTTCAATGTACTCCTTGTGAAGGATTTTACTGTTGAATATGTTTACGGTACGTCCACACGGCAGCTTCAACGGAGACGCTTCCCATTCACTTTAGGGTGACGTCACACTTTGCCGAACCGCATTGTGGTTCCGTCGCTTTGCCTCCGTTGCTCGCGCTGAAAGTTGAGAAGAGTTCAACTTTTCAAGCGTCGACGGAAGCTTCAGCCAATCAAACCATATGCCAGTACAAGCACTAGCCAATCAATCCATATGCCAGTACAAGCACTAGCCAATCAAACCATATGCCAGTACAAGCACTAGCCAATCAAACCATATGCCAGTACAAGCACTAGCCATTCAAACCATATGCCAGTACAAGCACTAGCCAATCAAACCATATGCCAGTACAAGCACTAGCCAATCAAACCATATGCCAGTACAAGCACTAGCCAATCAAACCATATGCCAGTACAAACACTAGCCAATCAAACCATATGCCAGTACAAACACTAGCCAATCAAACCATATGCCAGTACAAGCACTAGCCAATCAAACCATATGCCAGTACAAGCACTAGCCATTCAAACCATATGCCAGTACAAGCACTAGCCAATCAAACCATATGCCAGTACAAGCACTAGCCAATCAAACCATATGCCAGTACAAGCACTAGCCAATCAAACCATATGCCAGTACAAGCGCTAGCCAATCAAACCATATGCCAGTACAAACACTAGCCAATCAAACCATATGCCAGTACAAGCGCTAGCCAATCAAACCATATGCCAGTACAAGCACTAGCCAATCAAACCATATGCCAGTACAAGCGCTAGCCAATCAAACCATATGCCAGTACAAGCGCTAGCCAATCAAACCATATGCCAGTACAAACACTAGCCAATCAAACCATATGCCAGTACAAGCGCTAGCCAATCAAACCATATGCCAGTACAAGCACTAGCCAATCAAACCATATGCCAGTACAAACACTAGCCAATCAAACCATATGCCAGTACAAGCGCTAGCCAATCAAACCATATGCCAGTACAAGTGTCAGCCAATCAAACCATATGCCAGTACAAGCACTAGCCAATCAAACCATATGCCAGTACAAACACTAGCCAATCAAACCATATGCCAGTACAAGCGCTAGCCAATCAAACCATATGCCAGTACAAGCACTAGCCAATCAAACCATATGCCAGTACAAGCACTAGCCAATCAAACCATATGCCAGTACAAACACTAGCCAATCAAACCATATGCCAGTACAAGCGCTAGCCAATCAAACCATATGCCAGTACAAGCACTAGCCAATCAAACCATATGCCAGTACAAGCACTAGCCAATCAAACCATATGCCAGTACAAGCACTAGCCAATCAAACCATATGCCAGTACAAACACTAGCCAATCAAACCATATGCCAGTACAAGCACTAGCCAATCAAACCATATGCCAGTACAAGCACTAGCCAATCAAACCATATGCCAGTACAAGCACTAGCCAATCAAACCATATGCCAGTACAAACACTAGCCAATCAAACCATATGCCAGTACAAACACTAGCCAATCAAACCATATGCCAGTACAAGCGCTAGCCAATCAAACCATATGCCAGTACAAGCACTAGCCAATCAAACCATATGCCAGTACAAGCACTAGCCAATCAAACCATATGCCAGTACAAGCACTAGCCAATCAAACCATATGCCAGTACAAGCGCTAGCCAATCAAACCGCGTGCTTGTGTGTCCGGGGCAGGAGATGAATGTGATTGGTTGTTGGTCGCGCGCCAGACACGCCCACCGGCAAGCTTTGACGCGACGCTGCCGCGTGGACGTACCGTTAGTTGTTCACAGACAGCCAGTGTTTTTGTAAAATGACATGTTGATAATACTAATAAAGCTTTATTGATACAGCACGTTTCATCACATGCAGCTCAAAGATGACACTTCACAAGTTAAAACCGGACAACAAGAAATTCCCCTCAGATTATTTGAGAACTTTAAAAGGTGCAGCAAAATATGACATAAACTGAATAATGGTTTCTCTCTGACAGATAAGACACAAGACAACGAGTCGATGCAACAATATAACATATAAAACAAAGGGAACATATCGGTACAACAGAAATACAAACGCCATCATTCCAATAAGGGTGAAACGATTAAGAAATAAAAAAGACAAATACTCCTCATCTCCTTATATCCTCACCTCCTCATCTACTCATCTCTTCATATCCTCTCCTCCTCATATCCTCACCTCCTCATATCCTCACATCCTCATCTCCTCATATCCTCATCCTTTCATATCCTCACCTCCTCATCTCCTCTCCTCCTCATTTCCTCATCATCTCCTCATTTCTTCATCTCCTCACCTCTTCATCTCCTCATCTCCTCACCTCCTCATATTCTCATCATCTCCTAATTTCTTCATCTCCTCACCTCCTCATATCTTCATATACTCACCTCCTCATCTACTAATCTCTTCATCTCCTCACCTCCTCACCTCTTCACCTCCTCATATCCTCACCTCCTCATCTACTCATCTCTTCATATTCTCACCTCCTCATATCCTCATATCCTCACATCCTCATATCCTCACCTCCTCATATCCTCACCTCCTCATCTACTCATTTCTTCATCTCCTCACCTCCTCACATCCTCATATCTTCATATACTCACCTCCTCATCTCCTCATCTCTTCATATCCTTTTCTCCTCACCTCCTCATCTCTTCATATCCTTTTCTCCTCACCTCCTCATCTCTTCATATCCTCACCTCCTCATCTCTTCACCTCCTCATCTCCTTTTCTCCTCACCTCCTCATCTCTTCATATCCTTTTCTCCTCACCTCCTCATCTCTTCATATCCTTTTCTCCTCACCTCCTCACCTCTTCATATCCTCACCTCCTCATCTCCTCACCTCTTCATATCCTTTCTCCCTCACCTCCTCATCTCTTCATATCCTTTTCTCCTCACCTCCTCATCTCTTCATATCCTTTTCTCCTCACCTCCTCATCTCTTCATATCCTTTTCTCCTCACCTCCTCACCTCTTCATATCCTTTTCTCCTCACCTCCTCACCTCTTCATTTCCTCACCTCCTTTTCTCCTCACCTCCTCATCTCTTCACCTCCTCATCTCCTTTTCTCCTCACCTCCTCATCTCTTCATATCCTTTTCTCCTCATCTCTTCATATCCTCACCTCCTCATCTCCTCATCTCTTCATATCCTTTTCTCCTCACCTCCTCATCTCTTCATATCCTTTTCTCCTCACCTCCTCACCTCTTCATATCCTTTTCTCCTCACCTCCTCATCTCTTCATATCCTCACCTCCTCACCTCCTCACCTCTTCATTTCCTCACCTCATATAGGTACAACCGAAATACAAAGATAATAGTAATAAAAATGCCATCATTCCAATAAAGGTGAAACGATTAACAAATAAAAAAGACCAACGTAAACATTAATATTGCTCTTGAAGCATGTTGGATTAATGCAATAAGATCAAATCCTTTAAGACCTATAAAGGAAGGTAAATGATGTATATTTTCTTTGTTTCTGCAGAGACGCTAAAGCTGCTGCAGAGGTTACTAAAGTCTCCGGGCTGCAGGAAGATCCCCGTGTTGGTCCAGAACAAAGACGACGTCATCGTGACGGCGTCCAACTTCAGCTCCGAGAGGTGAGAGGACAGCGGAGGAGACGGGGGAGAGTCAAATATATATCCTACAAAGAAATGAAAATACTTTATTGAATCCTTTCTTTGAACAGGGAGTGTCCTTGAGAGCATGGTGTAGTTTAAGTACACGGTTAGTTTCACATTAAAGGAAGCAGGTGCAAGTATGTGTTTAAAATCATCGAATTAAAAGAGAGATGAAAGTAACACATGAAAATTACGGCTCCGCCCACTTTTGGGGGAAATCAACGCTGTTATTTAAATGGCGGTCAATACAGATTCTGAAGTTTTTGCCAATCTGTTCAGAAATTTAAGAAAACCGTGGATTTTTGTATCTTCAAAGAGCCCGATTACGATGGCCAGGCAGGCAAACAATTACATTAAGCCATTGGAAATCGACGATCGGGCTCGATATATGGTTAAATATAGCAGTAGGCGATCGATGTCCATAGATGAGAGTAGCACCTACGTCCCTTCCGGGCGAAAATGACGGCCCCGCCCACTTTTGGGGGAAAGCAACGCCTGTCATTTGAATGGCGGTCGAGCCTGAAGCCACAGAGTTCCACAGAAGAACGTAACTCTGGATTTATTTTTTTTTATAATTGAGGTGCAATAAACGACACAGCAGCTTGTTGGCATCATAAAACTATTATTTCCCGCCTCGCTCATGAGAGTAACAGCTGGCGAAATTACGGGCTCGCCTACTGATTTTTATTTAACCATATATCGAGCCCGATCGTCGATTTCCAATGATTTAATGTAATTGTTTGCCTGCCTGGCCGTCGTATTCGGGCTCTTTGAAGATCAGAAAATCCACGGTTTTCAAACATTTCTGATCGGATTGGGAAGAACTTCTGAATTTGTCTCGACCACCATTCAAATGACAGCTTTGTTTTCCCCCAAAAGTGGGCGGGGCTGTCATTTTGGCCCGGAAGTGACGTAGGTGTTACTCTCATCTATAGATAGTGTACCAGCTATTTAAATCATCTGTAAAAAAAAATCTACTTCCACAATTTCTAAAAAATACACCTGTATTTTCTGCGACTTTTTAATTTGTCTCTTAAAAACAGCATGCAACTAAGGACTCAAACAAGCTTTGTGTGTATTATAGTATAATATGTGTTAACTTTAGCCAATTGACAATATTGTATATTTGTACTATTAACATTTATAATATCCCTTAGCAGTGTAATGAAATTATTGCAGAACAAGTATACTAACTATTGCAGCCTTAGTTTTATTTTTAGGTCCTTTTAAAAAGATGTCTCCTCAAACTTTTTTTCAAACCTGCTCTATCGGAATCAGTCGCATTGACCGAAGACACATTTTGAGTTGTATACACTTTGAGGAGATTCCTAGCTTTCTAATGATATCAGGATTGTTGTTGTACCCCAAATATTAAGCAAAATATGTCACATTATATAATGACTGTCACCGAGTCATCATTTTGAGAAAAAGGCCTTCAAAGTTTCCTCTTCTCTGGAATCCATCGATCTGATTGGTTGTTAACGGAGCACATTATCAAAGTACTACGGAGGGAACATATTTTCGTTTGGATTGCTGGTCTGGGGGAAGCTCGCGAGTGTGTGTGTGTGTGTGTGTGTGTGTGTGTTTGTGTAATTTTGTGTGTATTGTGTTTGTTTCCCGGGGAAAACCCTCACGAGAAACACCGGCTGTTGTTATGCCTGCTGTGACGTTAAGTTACTCCGTTCTCCGCTTGTAATTATGCCGAAGCTTCAAAGTTGTATTTATCATCTGAATTTGCCGAAACAAGTTTAATATTCTGAAAGCTAAGACTTTGTTTATTTGAAATCAGATGAAAACAAACTGTAACGGACCCTGCCGTGTTATCTATGGTTACTAGTATACGCCTTGCATTCATAATGTCAGCCGGAGGGAGGGGGGGCAGAACAGCAGAGTGCGAGTGAGAGCTGTCAATCAATCAATCAATCAATCAATGTTTATTTATATAGCCCAATATCACAAATGTTACATTTGTCTCAGTGGACTTCACAGTGTGTACATAATATCAGTATGACAATATCATATGTCAATGTCATCTTCCCTTTACAAGCTTCAAACATGTATTTATCGTTTGATTTTGGAAATAAAAGTTTCATATTCTGAAAGCCAAGACTTTGTTTATTTAAAATCAAACAAAACACCGAACCCCGAAAAACTATTTGTTCACGCAAATCCACGTTTATTTTGAAATGAGCCGTTGCGACTTCCGACTGATTTCGATAGAGCGGGTCAGAAATATCTTCAAAACATTTAGTCTCTAATTTTTGTAAAAAATCATGTTAACAAAACCAATCATTAAACATGTTTCACTTTCTAGGATTTCTAATAACAGTTTCCGCAAAATCTGACTCATCTTTCCCACCACATCTACAGAGATCCAGCCCTGACCTCTAATACCTTCATTAGTACTGTGCACTTGTCTTATAATAACTTTACCGCCCCTCTCTGCAGGATGTGTCCCATCTTCCAGATCTCCAATGTGACGGGGGAGAACATGGAGCTGCTGAAGATGTTCCTCAACCTGCTCTCCTCCAGAACATACTTCAACAACGACGAGCCCGCAGAGTTCCAGATCGACGACACCTACTCTGTACCGGTACGAAATAACACTTTATACTCCTAGCTGTTTGTTTCTTTCCTTTAGATGAGTCACACTGTTCTTTGGTGGCTCCTCAAAGTGGAGACCAACAGGGAAAAGCAGAGCTAAAGTTTAGCACTGAAGGTTTGAGACTCTCTGCTGTTGTGTCTCTCGGTAGAGATGTGTGAAAATGGTTCTACGGGGAAATACATATTTATTGCCAGGAAAACACAAATGAATGTAATGGAGTTTTGGCGATTAGGCCCCGTTGTGCAGGAGTATCATTCGGGAGGGGAGAACCGATCCGATGAAACCTCCCCGGGGTCTAGACCAGGGGTCGGCACGCGGCACCGTAACCAGTGGCTCACTAGGAAAAAGTGGAATATGTGTGCAACATTTTAAAATTGTATTTTCGGATCCTGAAGGACAGGAAGTGAAAAGGGGTGGAGGAGGGTTGCGCTGAGCTTCATTAAGAGGATTTGTACTGTAAGGCTGTCACTGACTTAAATAAGAGAGCAAAATACAAAAACAAAAGCTTTTATAACTTTGAAAAAGTATGATATGATAGAGTCTCTGAACTTTTCGTATGAACTCACTTTTTGTCCTTGCAACTTAAATTCAATTGCTGCTAGAGAGTCAATAGTGAGGTGGCAAATGAACAAAACTAAATATTCCTACATTCATCCTCGTAGGATAAATATATAAAAAATTTATTTTATTTGCATTTTAAGAAATGATTCACAAAGCATACATAACTAAATAAATACAGATACATACATTAACTACCTAACAGTCGACAAATCCAGAAGGTAAAAATAGTAATAATAATGCAAATAAAATAATGGATACAATATTAATACGGCGTGTGGTGCAGTGGGTTGTGTGTTGGGATCAGGGGGTCACAGCAGGTTCAAACCCCACTGCAGTCAGCATGTCGTTGTGTCCCTGAGACACTTCACCCCAAGTTGCTCCTGTGGGGATTGTCCACAGTATTGAGTATGTGAGTCGCTTTGGATAAAAGCGTCTAACAAGTGACATGTAATGTAATGTAATACTCAGATATACATTAATTGTCAATTCTTACCTCATGTTCCTTATAAGTCTTCATTATAGTGTTCTATACTTTATCCATTTTCCCACCTTTCCTCAAAGATATGCATTTGCTTTCTAATTCTCATAGTTGTTTTCATTTACTAGGTTCTTCCATTGTGAGTTACTAAGGTATTATCTTTTATTACATGGCTTAGTTGAATACTCGATTCTGATTGGTCTATTCAGAACACGTGACACGTTGTTAATCCAGTAGTACAGACTGCTGTCAAGGATTTATTGACCGTTGTTAAGGACGCTCACATCTGCAGAAAAAGTCCGGTCGATTGAACTGTATACAGTTTGGCCGAAAAGCAAACTGGGACAATAAAGCAGCGCAGAAGTAACGGGGCAGAAACCCTCCTTGTTACGCAGCGGTCCAGACATAGACATCAGACTGCGACACACATTCAGTGTGCGGTTCCTTTGGCATTAGGGCAGGGATATCTAGATACTTTCCAAGGTTTGACTTCATGAGTTGTGCTACTTTTAAAGCAAGCAGCGATGTTTTCAAATCTGTAATCAAAAAGCTCCTCAAAAACGCTATCGAAGCAGTTCCTGCCGTTGCTAAGGAGGATCAAGAAAGAGAAAGTAAAAGACGGAGCGCTGGACGTCAGATAAATCCCCAGGAGAAGGCAGAGAGGAAGTGAACACTAACAGGAACACGGTACGAGCTCTGTAGAGTTTAGGGACTTGTTAGTGGATCAGAAACTGAACAGAGTTGGACAGTGAACGTAAAGTTGTTGTTGTCGCAGTTCCAGCCGTTGGTGCGCCGGAACGGAGCTTTTTGTTTCTTAGCGGAAGAAATACGATCATTTTTAAGTCAATAAAATCATTTCAATTAATATTGGGAGTCGAGCCGTTAGTTTGTTTAGTATCTGGCCGTGTAATAAGCGGGATATACAGTGGGGCAAAAAAGTATTTTGTCAGCCACCAATTGTGCAAGTTCTCCCACTTAAAAAGATGAGAGAGGCCTGTAATCTTCATCCTAGGTACACTTCAACTATGAGAGACAGAATGGGGGGAAAGAATCCAGGAAATCACATTGTAGGATTTGTAATGAATTAATTGGTAAATTCCTCGGTAAAACAAGTATTTGGTCACCTACAAACAAACAAGATGTCTGGCTCTCACAGACCTGTAACTTCTTCTTTAAGAGCCTCCTCTGTCCTCCACTTGTTAACTGTATTAATGGCACCTGTTTGAACTCGTTATCAGTATAAAAGACACCTGTCCACAACCTCAAACAGTCACACTCCAAACTCCACTATGGCCAAGACCAAAGAGCTGTCAAAGGACACCAGAAACAAAATGGTAGACCTGCACCAGGCTGGGAAGACTGAATCTGCAATAGGTAAGCAGCTTGGTGTGAAGAAATCAACTGTGGGAGCAATTATTAGAAAATGGAAGACATACAAGACCACTGATAATCTCCCTCGATCTGGGGCTCCACGCAAGATCTCACCCCGTGGGGTCAAAATGATCACAAGAACGGTGAGCAAAAGTCCCAGAACCACACGGGGGGACCTAGTCAATGACCTGCAGAGAGCTGGGACCAAAGTAACAAAGGCTACCATCAGTAACACACTACGCCGCCAGGGACTCAAATCCTGCAGTGCCAGACGTGTCCCCCTGCTTAAGCCAGTACATGTCCAGGCCCGTCTGAAGTTTGCTAGAGAGCATTTAGATGATCCAGAAGAGGATTGGGAGAATGTCATATGGTCAGATGAAACCAAAATAGAACTTTTTGGTACAAACTCAACTAGACGTGTTTGGAGGAGAAAGAATGCTGAGTTGCATCCAAAGAACACCTACTGTGAAACATGGGGGTGGAAACATCATGCTTTGGGGCTGTTTCTCTGCAAAGGGACCAGGACGACTGATCCGTGTAAAGGAAAGAATGAATGGGGCCATGTATCGTGAGATTTTGAGTGACAACCTCCTTCCATCAGCAAGGGCATTGAAGATGAAACGTGGCTGGGTCTTTCAGCATGACAATGATCCCAAACACACCGCCCGGGCAATAAAGGAGTGGCTTCGTAAGAAGCATTTCAAGGTCCTGGAGTGGCCTAGCCAGTCTCCAGATCTCAACCCCATAGAAAATCTTTGGAGGGAGTTGAAAGTCCGTGTTGCCCAGCGACAGCCCCAAAACATCACTGCTCTAGAGGAGATCTGCATGGAGGAATGGGCCAAAATACCAGCAACAGTGTGTGAACACCTTGTGAAGACTTACAGAAAACGTTTGACCTCTGTCATTGCCAACAAAGGGTATATAACAAAGTATTGAGATGAACTTTTGTTATTGACCAAATACTTATTTTCTACCATCATTTGCAAATAAATTCTTTAAAAATCCTACAATGTGATTTCCTGGATTCTTTCCCCCCATCCTGTCTCTCATAGTTGAAGTGTACCTAGGATGAAAATTACAGGCCTCTCATCTTTTTAAGTGGGAGAACTTGCACAATTGGTGGCTGACTAAATACTTTTTTGCCCCACTGTATGTAAGTCACTGTGGGCAATCCCCACAAGAGCAATTTGGGGTGAAGTGTCTCAGGGACACAACGACATGCTGACTGCAGTGGGGTTTGAACCTGTGACTCCAGTCCACTGCGCCACAGGGACACAACGACATGCTGACTGCAGCGGGGTTTGAACCAGTGACTCCAGTCCACTGCGCCACAGGGACACAACGACATGCTGACTGCAGCGGGGTTTGAACCTGTGACTCCAGTCCACTGCGCCACAGGGACACAACGACATGCTGACTGCAGCGGGGTTTGAACCTGTGACTCCAGTCCACTGCGCCACAGGGACACAACGACATGCTGACTGCAGCGGGGTTTGAACCTGTGACTCCAGTCCACTGCGCCACAGGGACACAACGACATGCTGACTGCAGCGGGGTTTGAACCAGTGAAAAAAACACTTTTTTGAATTTGAAAGGGAGACAACGACACTAGCCAAGAAACTAGTGACTTGCTCAATTCATTTGTGAGGGATCTGTGAAGAACATGACAACAGCTGCACTACTGGTACTGGACAAGTTTCCTACCACTTAAGTTTCAAATAATTGTGTTAATTACTTATTGTAAAGCATTTGAACATTCTTTTGTGTCACATGTTCATTATTAAGTTGATGTATAACTGTATAGTATCTTACTTATTTAAAATATAAGGTGACTAAAAATGACAACCATATTTTCAGTTTTGACAACCAAAAGCTGATGCCTGGTTGCCTGGCAACCACTTTTAAAAGTTAGCATTGAGCCCTGGCCTCTGATGAACGCTGAAGCCCTCTGATGAACGCTGTCTGTTCTCTCGTCAGGGCGTGGGCACTGTGGTTTCGGGGACCACGTTACGTGGAATGATCCGTCTCAACGACACGCTGCTGTTAGGCCCCGACCCGCTGGGAACCTTCATCCCCATCGCCGTGAAATCCATCCACCGCAAGAGGATGCCGGTCAAAGAGGTTCGAGGGGGGCAGACGGCCTCCTTCGCCCTCAAAAAGGTTTGTGAGTCTGAGGGTTCATGCTGTGTCTCTGGTTTGGCTTCATCCCTTCAACTTCATTTGCTCATTCGTGTGTTTTCTTTTGTTCTTCACCTCCTCCTCTCTTCACCTCCTCTCCTCCTCATATCCTCACCTCTTCATCTCCTCATATCATCTCCTAATTTTCTCATCTCCTCACCTCCTCATCTCCTGATATCCTTACCTCCTCATCTCCTCCTCTCCTCCTTCTCCATCTCCTCACCTCTTTATCTCCTCACTTAATCTCCTCATTTCTTCACCTACTCACCTCATCTCCTAATTCTCCTCTTCATCTCCTCATTTCCTCATACCCTCACCTCTTCCTCTCCTCTCCTCCTCATATCCTAACCTCCTCATATCCTCACTTCATATCCTCACCTCCTCATATCCTCACTTCATATCCTCACTTCATATCCTCACCTCCTCATCTCTTCATCTCCTCATTTCCTCATACTCTAGTTTGTCTTCATCCCTTCACAACTTCATTTTGTTCATTTGTGGGTTTTCTTTTGTGTTTCCTCAGATCAAGCGCTCGTCGATAAGGAAAGGAATGGTGATGGTTGCTCCAAAGTTGATGCCTCAGGCCACGTGGGAGTTTGAGGCTGAGATCTTGGTGCTCCACCACCCCACCACGATATCCCCCAGATACCAGGCCATGGGTCAGTGTCCACGACATCCGTATATCTAAACACTCAGAACACTAGAATATAACAGACACACTGGAGACACTCAAGACAAATGGTTGTTTATTTTGTATGTGTACAAACCGCAGAATAATATTAATAAAGCTTTATTTATACAGCACTTTTCATAAAGCACGTGCAGCTCAAAGTGCGTTACAGGATGACACACATCATAAGTCAAAAGTAAATAATAAGAAATTCCCCTCGGATCAGATGTTAAGACCTTTACGGCCCGTCCACACTACAGCTTCGACAGCTTCAAAAACGGTTTCCAACGCGTCTGCCCATTCACTTTGAATGGGGTGACGTCACGTTGCCTCGCTTTTCGCCGAACTGAATTGTGGGTAGCATAGCGGTCCGTCTCCGGCGTCAGAAATTGAACAATGTTCAACTTCTGACGCCGGAGACGCCGGAGTAGCCAGCGCCAGCCAATCAAATCCCGTTTCTGAAAATCTGACAGCTCAAGCCCTAACCAATCAAACCGCGTCTAAGCTGGGAGAGATATCCCGCCGTTCATTTCTATATTTCAAAAAAAGATGGAGGAGAAACTAATTATCGCCGTAGCAAATCACCCGGTTTTGTATGAGCAGACCCTCTTCACCTACCGGGATACAAACCGGAGGAACCAGGCATGGAGGGAGGTGGCAGAGACAGTGGGTGAAACTGGTAGGTTTTCGTCTGTTTGGGGAGTTTATATATATATATATATATATATATATATTAGGGCCGGGACTCGATTAAAAAAATTAATCTAATTAATTAGAGGCTTTGTAATTAATTAATCGAAATTAATCGCATTTTTAATCACATATAAATATTTGACCTGAGAACAGTGAGAAGCAATTTTTTTCACATGGATTTTAGTATACCATTAGGCGCATTCACACCGCAGTACTTTTCCCACAAAGGTTCATGAGAATTTAGTTCATGAGAACTCTTTGAACCTGGGGGTGGATTAGGCAAATGAAGCCGCTGACGTCACTTCTTCTTCTTCTGCTTTGGGTTTACTGGCAGGCCGCAAACGGCGTATACTGCCGCCCAAAGTCCCCGGCCGGAAGTCCCCGGAGTTGGGGACTGTAAATTGCCAGAACGCCGACACCTCCTCATCTCCACCGCTCCCATGTTTTATTTTGTGTTGCCATAAATTAGTCTCTCTGCGTTTCTGCGCTGGGCTAATGCTAATGCGAGGATAATAAAATGGCGGCTTCACAAAACTTTTTGGGAGTTTTACGGGGCGTGGTCGCCCAGCCAATCAGAAATATAGCTCTTTTCTCACAAGAGAGCCGTACGAAAGTCCCTGCTCTCTAGCAGCTCTCTGCTCTCTAGCAGCTCTCTGCTCTCTAGCAGGGACTTCCGTGGGGGTAAAAAGGTTCTCATGAACTAATTTTAGTACCGGCTCTTTTTGGTGTGAACGCGATAAAAGAGGCTAACGTCCACGCTAGCTTCCACGCTAGCTGCTATATGTTTTGCATTGAGGTGATACTTGAGGCTTGATGTGCTGCGGTGATATGCGAATTCCTTTTTTGCATAATTTGCACACAACCGTGCTCTTATCGACGCTTCCATCCGTCCGTTTTTTAAAACAACATTTCCCACTGTTGTTCACTGTGGTTTGTTGTTGTCTGAAGTCATGAACGTTAGTTGGTGCTCCAGTATAATCGGTACGCCTGAAACTCATCCAGTGAGAAACGTTCCGCGGTGCAAAAATAAGTGCGATTAAAATGCGTTAATTTTTTTAACGCGTTAATGTTTGTGTAATTAATTAATCTTAATTAACGCGTTAAAGTCCCGGCCCTAATATATATATATATATATATATATATATATATATTGCTCGCATAAAATCCCCGGGGTTTTTTACTTGTATGTCGGGGGCGGGAGATTCATGTGATTGGTTGTTGGTCGCGTTGCTCGAATAAAATCCCCAAGCTTCAGACACGCCCAGCTCCAAGCTTTTTTTGAAGCTGTAGTGTGGACGCTCCGTTACAGATACATGCAGCATAGCAACAACACATTTGAACAGGTTAAGAGACACAAGGAGGTAAAAGGTGCGATAATACAATTAAAATAAGGAGGCGTGTGGTGCAGCTGATAGAGCCTTGGTGTTGGGATACAGGTAGGGCTGTACCCGAATATTCGTTCGTTGGAGTACTATTCGGGTTTCAATTTTGTTATTCGTTTTGTTCGTTTTTTCCCCCATTTTTTTTTCAAATTGAATTTATTTAAATCTCCAATATCAACGTAAGAGCTTGTGCCTCTTCTGGGGGGGCTAACACTTAACCATAAACGTTATCGTTTACTTTCTCCGTCTTTATATGTAGATACTACTTTTCTCCGTTAATCTCCGTCACGTTGTTTCCATAGCAACAACAACTTCCTGTCAACAGCGCTACCTCTCCTTCAAAATAAAAGCATGTCCACAAATAGGAAGCCAAGCCAAATTACACTTAAGACATACAACTGCAACGAAAGTAACAAACACGATGCGATATCCTTTTCAATTTCAAAGAACACAAATTGGGTTACATTAACAAATAACTACAAAACAACAATACCTGTAGAATAACAAAATGAATGCCGTGAATACACCGAAATACACGTGTTGAAGCGGTTCGCTGCTGATTACTACGCCCCCCCCCGTTTTGGATAAAAGCGTCTTACAAGTATCATGTAATAAAAATAAATAATGATTCCTCTCTGCAAAATAAGACAGTGAATTGATGCAACATTATAAAACCCTATTAAATAAAGTAAACATAGGTACAACAAAAATAAAAAGATAATAGTAATAAAAACTTCATTATTTTAATAACGGTTAATCGATTAAAATAATAAAAGCCTAACGTCAAAAGGAAATGTTGCTATTAAAACTTTTAAATTAACAATATAACATGAAAGACCTATAAAACAATATAAAAGTAGGTAAATAATAAAAGACCATTTAAAGGCGGGGTAAAGTCACGTCTTTATTGATGTCTATAAGACGTTAATTTGGGTGTGGATGGTGTAGCTACAACGCTAGCTTCGCAGATCGATCCAGTCTCTACTAATCGGGATCAGTTTCTAGTTATCCGTTTGATTTGTGTATGAGAACACTAGAATGTATCACTATAAAATCGCAGACACACTGGAGACACTCAGTGTGTCTGTGATAGTTTGTATGGGTAAGAAACTACAGAGTGTCTATGGCATTGCAGATAAAGTCGCTGCTTTACTCACCTCGAATGCTCTTATTTTGAGAGTGGACAGAGACTTGCTGCAGCTCTCACTCTTATACCTCATTCACACCAATGGTGTTTCAGGGCCGGTTCGGAGCTGGAGCTTGAAAAGCACCGGGTTTTCCTGTTCACACCGCAGCGGAGCAGCCTCTTATACCTCATTCACACCAACGCAACTCCGGTTCAAGCTCCGTGCTAGAGCTTTTCAGGTTCAGAACCGGTTCTTCGGTTTAGCTCCGGCTCTTTTCACACTGCCCAGAGTCCGACTGATGCTGCGTCATTGCGTCATCGTTTGCGTCATGACGTAACCGTTTGCGTGCCTGCTTCATAAAGCCAAACCGCGCGGAAACCCCTCACAGCTGACAACAACAACAATGGGCGATTGTGCTCCAGCTTCCTCTGTACCTCTTCGTAAGACCAGATTCCCAGCAGGTAGCTGGTCTCTTCAGTGGACCACTGCTGCTTGTTAAGTTTCTCCATCGTTGTGTACAAACTGGATACAACGCGGGCTTCTTGTTGTTGTTCAGGAGTTGATCCCGCCCCTGAGCAAAAGCACCGCATACGTCACGCTTACGTCGAGGCGGGGGCAGGGGCGGGATCAACTCCTGAACAACAACAAAAAGCCGGCGTTTTATTCAGTTTGTACACAACGATGGAGAAACTTAACAAGCAGCAGTGGTCCACTGAAGAGACCAGCTACCTGCTGGGAATCTGGTCTTCTGAAGAGGTGCAGAGGAAGCTGGAGCACAATCGCCCATTGTTGTTGTCGGTGTCAGCTGTGAGGGGTTTCCGCTCGGTTTGGCTTTATGAAGCAGGCACGCAAACGGTTACGTCATGACGCAAACGTTGACGCAATGACGCAGCACCAGTCGGACTCTGGGCGGTGTGAAAAGAGCCGGAGCTAAACCGAAGAACCGGTTCTGAACCTGAAAAGCTCTAGCACGGAGCTTGAACCGGAGTTGCGTTGGCGTGAATGAGGTATCAGCTCTCGTTTTGGGTGGATTTACACTTGATTTTTATGAGTTCCTGCTTTATGGTCGCCCTGAAACCTTCCTACATAAAGTGACTGTGTCCTCCTCTCTCACTACCCACAGTGCACTGCGGCAGCATCAGGCAGACGGCCACCATCCTCACCATGAACAGAGACTGTCTGCGGACGGGAGACAAAGCCACGGTGCACTTCCGCTTCATCAAGACCCCCGAATACCTGCACTGTGACCACAAGCTGGTGTTCAGGGAGGGCCGCACCAAGGCTGTGGGCACCATCACCAAGGTACGGGAGCTAACCTCTCTGTGTGTGTGTGTGTGTTGTGTGTTGTGTGTGTGTGTGTGTTGTGTGTGTGTGTGTGTGTGTGTGTGTGTGTGTGTGTGTGTGTGTGTGTGTGTGTGTGTGTGTGTGTGTGTGTGTGTGTGTGTGTGTGTGTGTGTGTGTGTGTGTGTGGGTGTGTGTGTGTGTGTGTGTGTGTGTGTGTGTGTGTGTGTGTGTGGTGTGTGTGTGTGTGTGTGTGTGTGTGTGTGTGTGTGTGTGTGTGTGTGTGTGTGTGTGTGTGTGTGTGTGTGTGTGTGTGTGTGTGTCACTGGTTAACTGTGTGTGTGTGTGTCACTGGTTAACTGTGTGTGTGTGTGTCACTGGTTAACTGTGTGTGTGTGTGTCACTGGTTAACTGTGTGTGTGTGTGTCACTGGTTAACTGTGTGTGTGTGTGTCACTGGTTAACTGTGTGTGTGTGTGTGTGTCACTGGTTAACTGTGTGTGTGTGTGTCACTGGTTAACTGTGTGTGTGTGTGTGTCACTGGTTAACTGTGTGTGTGTGTCACTGGTTAACTGTGTGTGTGTGTGTCACTGGTTAACTGTGTGTGTGTGTGTGTGTGTGTGTGTCACTGGTTAACTGTGTGTGTGTGTCACTGGTTAACTGTGTGTGTGTGTCACTGGTTAACTATGTGTGTGTGTGTGTGTGTCACTGGTTCACCCGGTGTGTGTCTGTCACTGGTTCACCCGGTGTGTGTGTGTCACTGGTTCACCCGGTGTGTGTGTGTCACTGGTTAACTGTGTGTGTGTGTGTGTCACTGGTTAACTGTGTGTGTGTCACTGGTTAACTGTGTGTGTGTGTGTGTGTGTGTGTCACTGGTTAACTGTGTGTGTGTCACTGGTTAACTGTGTGTGTGTCACTGGTTAACTGTGTGTGTGTGTGTCACTGGTTAACTGTGTGTGTGTGTGTGTGTGTCACTGGTTAACTGTGTGTGTGTGTGTCACTGGTTAACTGTGTGTGTGTGTCACTGGTTAACTGTGTGTGTGTGTGTGTCACTGGTTAACTGTGTGTGTGTGTGTGTGTCACTGGTTAACTGTGTGT